TTTGCAAAAAAACTTTGCAAAGTTCCACGGGTCCTAACTAAAAATCGCACAAAAACGAGGTGTACAGTTTTCGAAAGAATGAATCTTTACCTTTAATTTGCGCACTTGTTCAGCATTGTGTGATTTTTTTTTCACCGAGTTATTTAACATTGAAGCAAAAAAGGTCATTTTTACTTCAAAAGTTCAATAACTCGGTGAAAAAAAATCGCACAATGCTGATCGAGTACTCAAATTAAAGCTAAAAGATTCACGCTTTCGAACGATGTCAACTTTCATTTGCGCGACGATTTTTTATTTTACTTTTAGGAACTTCGCTGTACTTGGTAAAAAATTTTTAGATTTGATGCATCTCCATTTGCATCCGTGCAGCTTTGTAAAGAATCAGTAAGTAATTTAATAAATTATGGGTGTCGAAAGTAGAGACTTTAAGCTTTAAAATGCTTTTTTGATCATTCCGATACGATCATTTTTGATGAAGTTACACTCTCTTGAAATTTGCCTATTTTTAGTGATCAGAATGGGTGATGCTTTAATTTTGCTGTCGAGTGTATATACATTTGTAAATAAGAAAAGAGAAGTACTTATTTTACATCATAACGTAAGTGTTATAGTCAACAAACGATGAAGACGATGAGTAATCTGAAATTCATGGTTGTTTTACATCTTCTAGTATAGCGTAAAACAAGGGCAGAAAATATCTTTTTTTCTTAATTCAAAATAAATCTTAATTTTCTTCTCGTATTTTAATTTCCTTTGACCTTAACTTGTCGCAAAACGTTTTGTGAAAATGCGAATTAAAATGGAACAGCTTCTATAATATTCCTAAATTTAACGTTCTTTTTATCCGATCTTTAGCTAATTTGTGTACATTTGAATAATTATTGAACTTAATTTACATCAGTACTTCATGAATTTTAAGTTATTGCAGATTTTTTTCAATACTATTATATTCAATATATTTAATATAATATTTTCTTTATATCAATTTATTAAAAATACTAAAATAAGACCGAAAAATGGATATTTTTTACGATAATGTCTATGTTAAAATATGTCAAGAAAATATAAAATATCTTGACAATTGTTGATTTATGTGATTAATAAATCTAATATTTGATGTTCATAGGCTAGTAACTCGTTATGATAAAAAATTTAATACTTTGGAACTCAAGAAATTGAAAGAGATCAAGGTCTGATCTATAGGCTTCTCATTTTCTTAAAAGAGGTTTTTGAGCTTGAGTGATTGTGTCATATTTTTCTGACACGTTATATAATTATTGCGTAGTAAAATTGAATCTTTTTCTTTACAACTTTAATTTCAAATTCCGCAAAACTGTGACATGATAAAGAATATAAATTGTATTTAATATAAATAAAAGGAGAGACGTAATTACTTTTTTTTCTTCATTAGAAAAATAAGTTATTTTTTTAAATGGTGTTGCCAAAGTTGTAATGAAAAAAATGATAAATGTTTTTAGTCTGTTCTTTACAGACAATGCTTTTATTTTTTTTAGCTCGAGAAGAAGCGGCAGTTGGAAACACAGAGAGTCCACACATTCCAGCTTATGTTGGAAAAAGAACAAAGTTACGTAGACAAATTACGGAGCGAGTTGGCAAAAGCTGGTACTGGCAGTGGTAACATCAATGTCACAGCCGTACAAACGGAGCTAGCGGGTGCCGAGAGGAGAGTACGCACTTTGCAGGAACAACTTGCAGCGATTAGTACAACTAATGAACAGGTCTGTATATTTATTCTTTTTTTAATATATTTTTTTATACACTAAACTTCTTTAAGGCTTCTGCCTAGTTACCGCGACCATATTGGAATCATGACGTCATAAGCGAGAAATGACATGTAAAAGTTTCTTGCATGCCATTTTTAAATCAAGAGAATTTGGATGAAATAAAAAAATGTAAAAATGGATGGAAACTATTCTTTTTCTTTCTGACAGTTAGTAAATAGTAAAAGACACGTTAAGTAAAACTTATTCAGGCAAGAAAACTCGTGATTTGACAACTGTTGAAAGGAGTGGAAAATATGCTTTTATGTACAAAATTCAATAATAACTTTGGTTTTCATCCATTTTTATGACTTCAATAAGTACGAGACAAGTCATATTTTCACAATTAAACACATAATAACGAAATGGCACGCAAGACAAAATTTATTGTCTGCATTTTTTACAGTAGATCCGTTCTCTTCAAGTCGAGTATTCTCTTCACATTCGTCTGTGATTGATCATGTTCAGTATATAAGTACCACAATTTTCGCTGTCGTACTGTTGTTTCGTTTATTGTCACAATATATATACGTATGCAACTACAAATATTTCGCACGAATGTTTTTTGCCGCGTAACGCTCCTTTTAACGCGTAGGGGCTTATGCTCTGCTTTCGACTATAACGCGTAGGGGCTTGTGCCCTGCTTTCGACCAGTGGCAACGCCTAGCGACGTACACCCTGAGCCTATCTAAGGCAACGGGGTGATGTCGTCGTTAGCCACTTGTGGTCGGACGGACACGCTGTGACACTTAAGGCCGTCGCCTTGAATCGCGTTCCGGCTCGAGCACACACTACGTCTCGTTATATTCGCGTTCGTGAAATAGAGACTCGCTCGGTGGAATATGTTTCCGGATCTGCGGATCGAACTCGAATGAGGCTCGACATCCGGTTTCCTACGACAACGATCCCCTTCCGATTCCCTTCGGATCGCTTCCGAAAATACCCGAAGATCTTTATCGAACGGCGATCCTTGAATAACAAAGCCGCGGATATCGCGGCGGGCCAACAAACGCGTAGGTAATTCTTCGATGTCGCGACGACGCGACGTTGCGGTAGACAGCCCCGGAAGACAGGCGCCGAGCCCCCGATTGATAATATGCCGCAGTTTTGTTATTCCACATTGCGAGAATGTGCATGAATGTATGTATACGTGTGTGTGCGTGTGTGAGCCGTCCGTCTTCGCTTTGTCGTGCACGACTTTTATTTTCGCTCTACGTAACAGATCAATTTTTACTGCTTACAATATCGACATAAATATTTTGTAGAATTATCACGGTTTACGACTTATAACACCGAAATATGATGTATTATAGAACGGCCTATGACAAACAAGCTTTTAATTTCTACCGTTATATAGTTGTCAGTGCGTTCGTGGCTGACTAGGCAGAAGCATTAATAGTTGATTAATTTGATACTTATATGTACCATTATCAGAATTATTGGAAACTTTTCATCTATTTAAAAATTTTAATACATCAAACGAAAGGATACTAATTTGAAATTGAAAAAGAAATTTAATTTTAAATTAAATAATTTTAGTAAATATGTTTGTAGACAACATGTGCTTATTTAAAAGACTGTATTATATATGTTTTCGTTTAAAAGATATAAATTTATTTATTTATGTCTTCAGGAAATTGATACTATTCAAAAGATTGATTGTGTTACATGACATAATATAATAGATTTGAAGAAGTATAGGATATAGCATTTTAGTATAGGAATGTATAGAATGTTATAAAAGGAAAAACAAAAATGTTAGAGCATATAAACTAGGAGGGGGAAAAATTACTTTGTAAAAATAACTATACTCTGTTCGCAACAAGAACGTATCTGGCTCTGCGCATATGGTTAGTATAATGGAGAGGGCGCGCGCCCTCTTATATAGCGCGCTATTGAGTACCGTACAGTATACGTAAATACGATACGGGTTCGGGCCTGCGTTTGTTATGAGAAAATTGAACAGATGAAATAATCTCTATATTTTTGTGTGTTTAAAATTACAATATCAAAATTACAATATTAAATTACACAGCTAGATGTCTATAATTTACGAAATAATTAAATCCATAATGCAAACATTTTTATTAGAGTTCATTTTTATAATTGAGTAATACAATAATAATATACAAAGCATTCATGTGAAAAATAAAATCTTATCTAACGAGTTATCTTGTTATCTATGAATATGTAATTTTAAGTATTTTTTTAAATCTAAAACATATCATAATTATTTAAATAATGTATTAAATTTCAACATAATCTCGTAGTAAATTCCTTAAAAAGGACACTTAAAACTTTAAAACTGCTCCGTTATAATCAAATTAATTGATAATTAATTTTTACTCATCATTGTTTATCTTGTTTTATTTGTTCTTCCTTGAAGGAGATAACATTAGCGGCATTTCGATATCCAGTTTTTCTTTTATCACTGTGTAAGAAGTTACGTTATAAAATCTTTATGTTATAAGGAAGTAGATCCTATAGATACAAGTTAGCAGTTATTTGGCGTCGCAACGGAGGAGGGAGGGGGTGATTTATTAGATGCAAGTGAGCATCAGTACTCATTAAATTGTTTAACAGCGTGACGATATGATTCTGTTTCAATCAAAGCTGCGTTGAATCCGATAGTAACGGCTCGCAGTTTGTTGAAGCTGGAGTATGTAAAAATCACATAATTATATTGAATATTAACTGACACTTGTATCTCGCTCGTCTTTGGCCTCTTATTCTGACTATTATTTACAATAACGAGCTGGTAATTTATTTATTTATAAAATCTTCACGTTTAAAGTCTTATTGAAAACATCGAACTAAAGTGTCCGACAGAGACTGACAATAAATTGTTGGGTTTTTCTTCTTGAATAAAGCGTGGGAGAGTCTTTTGTACTGCTTTATGAGAACGTTTATTTCGTATATCACACAATGGAGAGGAAGAAGGAAGTGACAAAAGAACAAATGTATTAGCGAAATGCGAATCGACATCCGTGATCGGTAGCGCCATCAATCAGGTTCAGTAATGCCACCTCCAGACTAATTCTAGTGACAAATTTCCATTAACTAAAGTAAATAACAAGGGGAACACCAGACATGGCCCTCTCCGATTTGGCTAAATTTTATACATATGAGTTCACTCCTCCCACTAATTCGTGCTAAAAGAATACGATTTACCTTTCAAGTATTTGTGAGAAAAACGTATTTAAAGATTTTCATGTTGGTAATGTACCCATCGGTAAGAGTGAGTCCGCAACGTCCGCAACAAGCAGCGTGGCATAACGAGTAAGGTGCCCGACTGTAATTGTTGCATGTTGCTGGTTCGAATCTTATTTTTACTAATTTTTTTTTCATCTATATTGCATCGTATTATTGTGTATGTGTATTTTTTATATTTAACCTGAAAATTAATATTTTGATTATAAAATTTATTATATTTAAAATTATATAACTTATTTGTTTAATATGCTTTAAAGGTTATTAAACTTTATATCATTTTAAGTTGTGTCAATTGTACAATTTACATTATTAAATTAGATAGCGTATAGCCTTTGAAGAGTCCATGGTTAATTATTATACAATAAAGATACCCTTACAAGAAGGGACTTCAGCGTAGTCAAAACTCGTTTAAAGAATAAAAAACAAAACATAAAAATAATTTAAAATTTGTTTATTATGTAGCAAATAAATTTCAATTTAATAATGTAAATTGTATGACACAACTTAAAATGATATAAAGTTTAATAACATTTAAAGTATATTAAGTAAATAAGTTATATTATTTTAAATATAATAAATTTTATAATAAAAATATTAATTTCATGTTAAACATAAAAAAATACACAATAATACGATGCAACATAGATGAAAAAAAAATTAGTTAAAATAAGATTCGAACCAGCAACATGCAACATTACAATTAGGCATCTTACTCGCTACACCACACCGTTTGTTGTGAACTCTTACCGACGGATACATTACCAACATGAAAATCTTTAAACGTGTTTTTCTCACGAATGCTCGAGAGGTGGGTCGTATTTTTTTAGCATGAATTAGTGGAAGGGATGAACTATTATATATATGAAATTTAGCCAAATTGGAAGGGGTCTAGTGTTCCCCTTGTAAGTTAAATTATAGTTATAGATGGAAAAAAGTAACGAAGTAAGTTAAGTTACAGTTATTGAAAAAAGTAACTAACTTCTTTACAAGTAACTTAGTAACTTCCTAATTTTGACATAAACTTACTAAAAAAAAGAAGTAACAAAAGGGGCACAGTTGTCTCGAACCAAAAGTGCGGCTGGAGAGTTACAAGCATTCAAAATTATCGGATCTTATATCGGCTGAACTGATCAAAGGAGAATATGCAAAAATAGTCTTTTGGGAACTGTATGGTGATCGAATAAATCATACATATTTTTACGTATTTTGAGTCGTAGAATTTGAAAATGACAATGAAAATGAGCGTAGCTGAAAAAACTTGGAAAATGAAGAAAAGTGGGAAAAAAATGAAATTGCGTTTAAACTGGCAGATGTAATTTTCTTACTTTTATTTTTATGTTTCCTTGCATGTTTTGAGTAACAAAATCTTGCTATCTAAAATCCAGCTATCTAGAATTCTAGAGGTACTCAAGATATATACAAGAGCGTAAAAATTTCCAGCCTAGCAAAGAGTGTACAAACAGTATCGGAATGGATATTTTGTGTACAAAATATCTCGAAAACTAAGTATTGTAGGAAAAAGTCTCAGATAAAAGTTGTAGGGTTTTAAAAAAAAGATCTATTTACTGGCACTATTAGTTTGATCTTGGGACGTCGTCAAAGTCAGAACAAGGCCTTGAATTTTTTAAATAGGATTCCTTATTTTTTAATACAAATTCTTGTAGCCCTTCCTCAGACCTTTTTCACATACTATAATTTTATCCACTTTAAGCTGTTTCAATATAAAGGTTAAACTATTTATGAGCAGAGAAATCTGCATTTTCGTATGGATTAACCTTATATGTAAAATAACCGTATATGTAAAAAAAAAACGTAAAAAATTGTTTCCACAAGTAAATAAATTTCGATGAAGAGATACTGTTAAAGACTGACAATTCTGACTGTTTGGTGACATTTAATTACCGTCTTCATTTGTCGATGAACGTTTCATCATCCCATTTGCTGCTGGATGATACGCTGTTGTTCTAATATGTTTTACCCCAGTTAGTTTAGTGAGATGATTGAATAGTTATGATTCGAATTGATAGTCTTGATCGGTTTGAGTTAGTACATCGTATTGTGTAATCTAGTTCGAAAACAGGTCATGTCGTACCACTGTGCTGAGAATTGTTTCTGGCTATCTTGTAAATCTGTCTATTATTGTAAAACAGTATTTCGATCCTTTTGAGTGTGGGAGTGATCCCACAATGTCCATATGTTTGAAGCGATTTTTGAAAGCTTCCAAGGGGAGCACTATTATGTTTTATTAATTTTGGCTTTTTGGCATTGTATGCATGCCCGTGCCCATAATTGGCAGTCTTTTTGTATTTGAGGTCAAATATATCATTGAGATACGAGTTTAGTTAAGGCCTTGACTCTCGAGTGTAAAAGTTCGTGCTTTGGAAAACTTGTCGACGAAATGCTTTAGTCACGAATGGGCGAGTGATTGGAGTTCTCGTGTCGCTGAATGTCCCTCCACCAATTTTATGTTGAGAAATCGCTGATTCGATCTCGAGTGAGATCTCACGCAGAGAGAGATTCGCGGACCGGATTCACTAGGGAAATCACACGCGTTAAAGTTTACAGAAATAAATACTTTATTAATTATTCGTAATGCTTCGACGATTTAATATTCGAAGTTTACACGATTAAGCAGTAACAAAAGAGAAGTTTACACAAATACGCAGTAACAAAAGAGAATTTGAACCGGCGCAGAGACTCTCGACTTTTGAGAGTCAAACAACGAGAAAATCGGAACGACTGGGCGGATCGGTTGCAATCTGTGCGGAAAGAGAATTCCGACGAGAGTTGATGTGCAACAGAACTGAACGCCGCGAGAAGTCGTGAGCGACAGTGACCACAATAAATTTTGGTTGTAGTGCCAGGTACTTGCACTTTTGTTAGTTTTATTATCTTTTCGTTTTCGAGCAGTGCTTCAATTCATCGTCCTCCTTTTACGAGTGCACTAATTCTTCGAAATTGATAGAGGCTTGGGTTGCTTCGATGCAAGAGTGTATCTGCTACTATGTTATCCTTCTCGGAAATGTGTGATATCGGTCGTGAATTGGCCGATGTATTTTAATGTTGTGTTTGCCTTGGGGAACTGCAAAGGGTCTTGGTTAAAAGTGTATGTGAGCGGCTTGTGGTCGGTATAGAGAGTAAATTTTCAACCTTCCAACATATGTCGATAGTACTTTACCGCTTCGTAAATCGCTAATAATTCTTGGTCGTATTGAGGTCTCGGACTGTATTTAGTTTGCGTCCCCGGTTAAGCTTCTTAAAAATGGGAGCGGTTGCCAACTAGTACCATTTTTTTGTTGAATCGCTCTGAGGGCTGTATCGGAAGCATCTGTATGTGTGTCATTACAAGTTAAGTGTTGCAAAGTGCTGAGTCGCGTTTCTTAGTCTGAACGGCATGTAACGAAATTTGAATAAACCGAACGGTGTAGTAATTGCCGTTTTTGGTCTGTCATCCGGTTGTAGGTTCTAATTAGATCTAATATTGAGAAGATCTTATCGTGTAGGGTATGTAAGAAGTCTTCTATGTGTGGGATAGGATAACGATCCGGTATAGTCCCTAGTGTTTAACATGCGAGTCTTCACATGGTCTCCATGTGCCTCCTTTCTTGTGGACCATGGACTCTTCAAAGATTACATAATATCTTTTTGTAGGTTAAATTCCATTTTGGTTACTTGGAGTTTATCAGGTGCCAATCGGTGTGGGCGGCATGCCTCAGGGGGACCTTGAGCGATTTTAATATGGTGCACTGTGATGTGCTTTACTGTTTTTGTCGTACGAGACGGCGTTGTGACTGCCGAAAATTCTACTAACACGTCATGATATGTCGATTCTTTTTTTATAGCTTTTATAGACTTTATCGTCTGTGTAGTAAGTGCGCCTGTAGCAAATAAGTCTATTTTGCCATCTATTTTGCCATCTATTTTGCCATCTATTAGACGTTTTTTTCTTACCTCTGGTAGTAAATGGTAGTGCGTAAGAAAATCTGATCCGATTATAGGTTGAATTACGTCGACCGTTTTCTGACTCAAAACTGCAGGGCTTGCTGCATTTCTTAGCCTCTGCCTTGAATTGTCGGTGATAGTAGCAGATATCCTGTTTTCTTTGGCATTCGCTTTTGTTCTTGCTTCGACTCCGACTGCGCTTGTAGTACCCTTGGCGACTGACGTGGCAGCTGTACTTGCAGAGGCTATACAACTCTGCAAGTGACCTCGAGTATCTTGTCCGCTTGCTCGGCTACTTTCTCGAGTCTGTTTTCCATCTGCGTTGCCAAAATGACTTGCATTTGTGCAGGGAATCGACCTAACCACAGTATTCGAAGGAGTTGATTCAAAACTATGGTGCCTGTAAGTGGTTGAAGATAACGCAGGAAGGTTTTCTGTCCTCTAATTTCTCGTGTTCTAGGAGTTGTCTGCGCTGTTCTTGCGAAGCAGATAGTCGTATTAAGGCATGCTTGGTACTTGCTTCTCTCCGGAGAGAGTTGGTCAACGTCTTTTATTTCTTTGGCGTACTTGACTTCCAGCTGACAAGACATAATATTTAGTAGAATCCTGTGTCACTCAACCCAAGACGAATTTGCTTTCAATTTGCGTGAACCATAGATTCTTTTGGCCAAAATGGTGGTGTCTTTATGACGATGCAACCAATGTTTTCTCCTGTCTCCATGATTGATTCTCGTCGTTGCTTATCTCAGATCACGTCGGAAATCTTTAAGTTGTGGATGTACAACGAAGATTTTTTGTGTTGGTCATAACAGAAATCTGTGTAGACGCGTCGGGGTTACCAATTTAGCCGTTGTTAGTGTGTAGCTAGTTCTTGTTCTTAGAAGAACGGATAAAGATCGCCCTGAAAAGGACGATTTATATTGCGAATATGACAAACCTAACGAAGGGAGAAATTTGGGTCAAGCCCTTAGGGACTCGACGGGGGTGATGTCAGTTCTTTATACTTGCGGGTACTGTCGGTACCGACGTGGACGTTTTCTTCGGGGCAACCTAGATGATGATAGTCGCAACGGTTGTGGTTCCATCTGTGTGCCCCAGATCATTCTGCTGGCTCTTCTCCTTGATAAGATCCTTGGTGAAGACAGATTCTACGTAGGATCGGCCTCCAGGTTAAAGATAGAGGCCTTCGGATCCTTCAGTTTCACATCGCCAATAATTTCATCGCGCGGTCATTAGTAGTGATGGCTGGCTGCCGCACCGTCAGCCACGAGTCCGCCACATATTAAATAATTTTACTTTGTTTAAATTACTATAGTTTGTGGGTATCTAATTATCATTCCATATTTTCAATTCATTTGGCTCGACGTTGTGGATTTCTTGGGAATATATTTTTATTACATATTCTTTGGAAATATATTTTCATTAACCCTTTTATTGACGAATTATTACAGAAAAATGCTGTGCATCTACCCATTTTTGCTAAGAAAAACTGATACTCATTTTCAGTACTTAAAAATATTGATTATTCAAAACCGAGAAAGAAATTGGACTAAGTATTTACTGTATTTACTTATGTTTGCCAGAAACTATAAAGCTCATAGAGCTTCATATATTCAGCACCAGAATATGATAACACATATCTTTCTCTCTTGCACAGTTTTAAAGAAAAGTGTTGGATTTTCTGATAGTCAGAGTCTGATTAGAGGGTTTCTATTTCTTGTTTGGAGAGCGAGCGAGCGAGATAGCACGAATCACTTCTTTTCTGGACTAATGATATCGTCGAGTTTTACGGCATTTTGTGAATCGTGAATTGCAATTGAGTATATATATTATGGCAGGAAATATAAAAGTTAGTAAAAAACAAAGTTAATATAGTACAAGAACGTAGATTACCCAGTAATCAAATATCAACCAAAATCAATTAACAAACACTGTTTTTATCAATATTCCCATTCAGTTAATGTAATAAAAACAAAAAATGAATATTTTGCAAATCTTGGTAATATTATTTTATTTGAAGAAATAGGCTTATAAATAACAAATGATTTATAGACATTTTATGTTATACGTATATACTACAAAATGTATATCAAACAAAACTACCTTTTATAAAAATTACTCTTATAAAAAGGTAAAAAGGCTTATGCGTATGTTTAAAAAAACTGTTATCAATAAAAAAAAATAAAATTTAAGTATAATACTATTTTTAATTTAAAAAAATTATATTATTTTACTTACAATTAGTGTCAATCCAAGAGATCTATATCATTTGTATTAAACGTTTAATATCAATAAGTTCGCGAAAAATAATTCGTTAAAAACAAAGGCGCCAATAACATGCGTCTACTAAATATGTTATATATAATAAAATATATTATAGTCAGGGAATGTTACCTTAAAACACATGGAATGTCCTTAACTAATTTATTGAAGTGCCATCTCTTGGAAAATCCGGCACTTACTGACAGACGCAATTTTTGGTGTCTTTTCCTTAGCTGAGTAAAAATTACCACAAATTGCATTCAAATGGATAATTGTTTTTCTATGCTTCCAATCGTAGCTCAAAAGGTCTTGTATTATTCGTGCAAGTAATCCGATGCGCGCCAGCTACTTATTTTGTACACATGAGTTATAGAACTTTTGTACCAATGAAATATTTACGTCAGGTGACAGGTTATGATAACTTTACGACCCGAAAAAAGGTAATATTTTTTTGTTTTTACTACAAATTTAATTTCAATTCTGTAAAAGCGTTTTCGAATCCGTTCAGTCGTTTCGGAGTTATCCATTAGAATGCAAATGTCGGTATTCCAGCATCGCCTTAAGAAATAGCTCGCCTTCTTACATTTTATGTCTATTTCAATCCTGTAAAAACGATTTTAATTCCGTTCAATATTTTCAAAGTTATCGTTCCAACTGCAAATGTCGGTATTCCAGCATCGCCTTAAGCAATATGGCACGCAACCATGCCAGTTCAAAAATTGAACTGCGTGTTGTAAGGTCTGTTTTTTCTAACTGAAGTGGCTACGCTAGTTCAAAGTTTATCTTCTTTCAATGTAGAAAGAGAAAGCTAAACTGTGAACTAGTGCAGCAGTTCAGCTATAAAAAACAGGTCTGTAATGAAATTCTTCGTGAACGAATGCGTAAAACCTAGTGAAATTTACAGAAGACTTCAAGCACAGTACGGAGATCAGACTTTTAGCCGCAGTAAAACATTTGAATGGTGCCAACGTTTTAAGGACGGCCGTAAATCAGTGAGTGACGATCCCTGCCGAGGCAGATCGGTGCCCACTGATTTACAGCCGTCCTTAAAATGTTGGCATAATTCAAATGTTTTACTGCGGTTAATTAAGAGTCTGATCTCCGTAATGTGCTTGAAGTCTTCTGTGAATTTCACTAGGTTTTACGCCTTCGTTCACGAGGAATTTCATTACAACACGCTGTTCAGTTTTTGAACTAGCATGATTGCGCGCCATATTGTTTAAAAAGTAATTCGCGTGGCCCGCGACATTAACGCCACCATACGGCGTTAGAAGACACTTGTAACTAATCAGCATGATTAATAAGATGATTTACTCAGGATCTTTTCTTTTGCCCATAAAATTAAAAATCCTGGTTTGACTTGAATGCCCCTCGTACATCAAAATATAGTATATATTTATGTATACGCGTGTACGCATGTGCGCGTGTACTATCATATAGCAATATAAAATTTATAAATTGTGTAAAATATTTTACGTTTAAATGATTCTTGCGTTTATACTTTCTTCCTTTAAACTTTATAGAATTTCACAAATGAATCATTAACGATAAAAAGAAGATTAAATATAATAAAAGTTTTTTGTGTATGTACATATGATTTATTAAATTTTCAATGAATTGGCTTGTATGAACGCCTTATCTTTCGACCTCATCCGTTATCTGTCACTGTCAAAATTAGATGCAAACATTGCTAGCACAATCATATGTCAGAAATTGAAGAAATATTTTTTGTTTACGATCTGTACACATGTGACCATAATAACAATGATATTCCATAAATTTTACTAATTTAGACTTTACATTATAATATCTTTGTTTATTTAGGGGGTACATATAGTAAATATAAATTTGTAAAAATATTTTTATTACATGATCCTTTATCTATTGATAGTTTATTAGAAACTTAATTAGTTCAAGCATTATTAAGATATGATAAAATATTTTTGTTGCATCCTGATCATATCTCTTTATAATATTCGAGAAATATAATACTCAAAATTTCTCACTGCAATCACATTTTGAGTAAGCATCAGAATTATACTTTTATTAAAATCTTTTTATGAAGATTTAGAGATTTCCTACTTGATTCCAAATTGTGTCCTTTCGTTCGATTACTTTCTATGTCATTAATTGTAAAACTTCAGAACGTGTAAAAACTCAACATCTAATCTTATCAGTGGCAGATGGGTCAACATGAAGATAGTTTGTTATTTATAATATTTGGAAAATTAATAATTTTATTTGAAAAACAATATTAAAAATATATTTCTTTTGTATAAAACTTTTTGAGAAAATCAGGGTTTATAATTAAAAAATTAGCTTGATATTTTTATTTTACGTAATTTTCTTACTGATATTGTGATATAAATTGATGAATTTATTTTATCAGGAGCTGTTTTTTAGAATGTGAATAAAAACATATTTTTAAAGATGATCTTAATATTTTATAATTTATTTTTTTACTAATTTCAATTATTCTTTGTTATTTTCTAAAATAGAATTCTTATTTTTTTTATTTATATTCTGATAGCTATTGTTAAAATACAATATACCAGATGATATATATCGCAAGACAATTAAAAAATACCCAAAATTAGCGATAACAATTTTGTGATGTTGAAAATCAATTTTTATGGCAAAAAAAAAATTTATTTTACATTTGCAATTTATTTTTAAGAATTCTTTCTCATTTTCAGTAAAAATAACAAACTATCTTGTATATTAATTGATTGTGAGTGCACTAAAGCTTTTGCTTACTTTTGCTAACACATCGTTGTGTTTTACAGCTTGGCCTCTTTGGTAACAGCAACTCTTTATTGTGTCTTACAGCTTTGCTCATTGGTAACAAACACTTCGTGTTCCTCGGGTTATTGTCCACCCTCGAACAACGGCAGTGGCGCAGATGTACCACCCCCACTGCCGTCGCGCAAATCCTTATCCATGCAAAGTCTTTCTCCGCCGCCTTTGCCTCCCAGACCTCCACCTGCCACACAAAACACAGTCCAACCGGAGGTGGACCGACATCTGCTGATTCACTTAACGCCTTCAACCATCAATCAGGGTATTTCTAACTCTGTAAGTAGTTTAATTGTCCAATAATGTTAATTGATATCCTTTATACTTATTTTATACTTGTTGATAAACATACGTACATAATTCTCGAGTCATAAATAGATCAGAAAATTTTTATGAATTTAAGAATTTGTATATTTGAAAAAATTGTTATTTCTATGTTATATAGTGTTTAGGATCATTTAACATACTATTTAGTGATATACATATAAATAATTACGACTATACAATGTGACTTTGTAATTAAAGTCAATAAATGGTATTTAGAGCTTATATGAGAATCATAAACGTTATATTTATATGTAACGTTATGTTTAAATGAAATATATTTAATAAATATTATGGAGAAAAAAATGTTTGTTATAATGTAAGTATGTATGCATAAATCAGTTTATAAAACACTAGGTTTATTAAACCTATAAGATTATTTTTTTATGTTACCTGTAAATAAGTAATAAGAAATATGTTTTGTATATATATATATATATATATATATATATATATATGTGTATACAATAAATTTTATTTTACTTTTCTATTACTTCCATTAAGCAAATCTGCTTTTATTAAAAACTTGTATATATAACAAATATTATTTTATAAAATATATTTTATTATAAATGAAATATTATTTTTAATAACTTATTTTAAATACTTATCTTAAATATTTCGCAAACAATGCACGAGAAGTTGCTTGAAACTGGGAATGATCTTTTAATCAACATATAGTTTTATTTTAAATGTGTGACTTCTAAAGTTTCCAGATTATTGAAATAGAAGCAATAAATGAGCCGATGTTGGTGCAAAATCGCAAATATATTATCAATAATTTATTAAATTCAAATTGCCCAGATGTTTCGTAACATTAAACCATCCAGATGTAACATTAAACCATCTTCAGTGGATTAAACTTCTTACAAGTATATTCAAGATATGTAGAGGTCAAATTTTAAAGTGATAGTGTGTCAAATTAAAAAAAATATATAAAAAAATGAACGGTTTACTGACAGTGAACAAGTTCTTTCCTTCCTTGTTGTGGATATTTACAAGTTTTAGTACCTGATTGGATGCAATTGTGGTTTCATTGGTACTTTCAATTTATTCCCACGACTACTGACACATTACTTTTTATATATATTCTTAATTTTAAAACACTGATTGGACTGCCTTTTCTTATTGTTGCATGCCAGGACCAGGACAGGAAATTTGACGTATGAAAAGGAGGGAATTTTTTGTTGTCATTGTAAGCTAAAGATCCACTATGGCGAGCTTTTTATGTATGTTTAATATATATATTTTTAATTTGACGCATTATTACTTTAAAATTTGATCACTATATATCTTGAGTATATACTTGTAAGAAGTTTAATCTATTGAAGATAGTTTAATGTTAAACCGAAACGTCTGGGCGATTTGTATTTAATTTAATTTAACAATAATTTAATGAATTATTGTTAATAATAATTTGCAATTTTGCACCAACATCGTGCCTGGTTTATTTCCCTTTATTTCTTATTTAAATTTTTATTGTTTGAGCTGTTTGGATGCTTAGTTATTTTAGATTATTTCTATTGTTTCTAATAATACTACTTTTTATCATTGATTTTTTTATTATTCTGCATATAAAATATAAATGATTAAAAAGTAAAAAAATTGCAAACTTTTTTGCATATTTTATTCTGATATATTTTCAATATAAAAATAGAAACTGATATATTCTGAAAATAAAAAATGAAATATCTCTTGAGCTATTTGTTTTTCTATAACTTTATCTTAATGTTTACACGCAAAACAATGAGAAAAATTTATTTATATAAAAAGAAATATTATTTTATCTAAAAAAATATAGAAATTACTTCAAAATCTGTTTTGAAGTATATCCTTAAATTTGGTTTTATCATACCAGATTGTATTTTACCATAAAATGTTCTTTTCGAAATCAACCAATTTCTCTTTGGAATTTTGTTTATTAAAATTATTTCGTTTTTGAAATATTTAAAATGCTTATTGTTATTTAAAATGTGATTATTTTTTTTATGTAGCATCTTACTTGCCTACATGAATAAATATATAATGTAAGCATACAACTTTTTTATTTATAATTTATATGTATGACATTTATAATAATTTGTAATGAATTATATTTCAGTTTTCTCAAGATGCCAATTTGAGCGCTTCAAGTGCTCTCAGTAAACATCAGCGAACAAAGTCCAGTCCGGAACAGTTGGGAACAACAGCAATATCTCCATTGGAAGCTAGTAGACGTTTAATTGCCTCTGAATCGATGAATGATTTGTTACCTCCGGGACATGTCAGGCATAATGATATCGATATCAATGAATTACCTCGTACACCACCGGGGACACCACCACCACCGTATCCTGCTCCCGTTTTAGGGCAAGACATTTTCTCGTCCACATTAAACGATGTAAATATTTTCTCAGTCTTAAATCTGTATTCAGCAGTTCTATATTTATTGGTTTATTAAATCCTCTGATCTCATTGTAACTACACTGGATTATAAAATCAGATACTATATATGACAAAGGACGATGAGTAAAATAAATCAATTTTAGATTAAAAAGTGCGACAAAAGTTATTATACATGTAATCTTACGTTTTTGGGGTAGCTGAATACGATGGTAGCATTTTTATCTATCCAAACCCATGGTGATCAAAATTCACGTTAAAGGTGTTCTTTTTACTAGTAATTCAATTACAATTTAGTAATAGTTTAATAGTAATTCAGTTACAATTTTTGGTTTAGTTATTTAATTACTTGTATTAGTACAGTATAATTTTATAAATTTTGCACTGAAAATCAAGAAAGCACTTGAAAATAAAACACTTAAAAAATTTTAAATCTTACATAGCAAAATCAATACGATATAATTAAACAAAAAGATAATAATTTGTTATTCAAAGAATCTTATGTCTTACTACACACACAGATGTATCTGCATTTGTATATGTATACAGCATTGTAGCATTGTAAAATTTTAAGAATGTTAAAATGATGGATTTCACCTAGAGACTCATTAAGTTTTTTAAGACGTTTGTGGAATCTTTTCTGGATCCCTATCATACTACTTTTTATTGTAATAATATTGTAAAATTTTAAGAATGTTAAAATGATGGATTTCACCTAGAGACTTGTTAAGTTTTTTAAGACGTTTGTGGAATCTTTTCTGGATCCCTATCATACTACTTTTTATTGTAATAATATAGCATAAATTTATTCGTTGTTATCAGAATCTTTGGCATAAATTATATTATTTAAATATTTATTAGAAACAGGTATCAGAACCCAATAGCCTATTACATGAGTACTAATTCTACAATTACATGAATAATCTACTATAACTGATAGACTAGAAGTATTTTTATCTACTAATACCTATATAAACAAAATATTGAATTAATTTTGAATGATAAGAGCGTATTCGTGTTTTTAATAAAAAAGCATTAGTAGGATTTAAATTAATATTATATTTTTTATGAGTAAAAGTTCAAAGCTCTCCTGAATGTAAGTGAAATTCAGCCACTGTCGTGCGGTAGGTGCTTGTTAAAATTTTTGCAGTTTTATTTTCAAATTTTCCTGGTTTTTAATAAAAAAGTTATAAATACTATTTTACAAGTTAAATAATTAAAACAAAATTGTTACTAATTCAATTGCTATTAAAAATCTCCTTTTTCACCTCTTTAATGAATTTACGTTAATTTTGACTGTTTTCTTATTATTATAGTTTAGCTAGATAAAAGTGCTATCATTGTATTTAGCAATCCAAAAAATTATATATATAACTTTTGTTATACTTTTTAGTCCAAAATTGACTCATTTTTATCCATTGTCTAATTAATTTATGCAATTTATGCAATTACAATTGTAATAAGAGATTAGGAATATTAAAAGTATCAGATAAATAACTTGAATATGTATTACACATACATATATTATACATGAGTATACACATAAACAAAAAACGGATGTATTTTCTTTCTGATTTTATTATCGATATAATAGCTTTAATAGACTTGATTTTATGTATTGTCTATATAGTTATTTAAAAAATGATTTATAATTTTCTCTATTTCTCTCATAATAATAGTTTATAATAACAGGCACTTGCGACTGATATCATTCCTGGATTGCCAGCGTTCCAACAGCCAATTATGTCAATGGAAGAAGATGACGTTAGCGATCAAGAAATCGTAAGTTATTCATAAATCTATGGGTTATTGCTTTTCAGTTATGGATTATACTTTCTAAGATCCTTAAATATTAATATATATAATTGATCTTATCGATTTATTAATGTCTTAGGGTCAATTAGAAGATCATGGACCGTTCCAATCTCTATCCAGGCTGTGGGGGCATCATGCACACCTTGCTGTATTTATTAATTATGTACTATCTAATAGTGATCCTTCTAGTTTGGTATGTATCATTGTTGATTATTTATTATATCTATTTAAATTAGTTTAGTTTCAAAATATGTTTTTATGACAAAGAAATTATATAAAAATGTATTTAATATATAATTGTTGCAGTTATTTTATTTAGTAACTGATTTATACAAGGAAGGAAATGCCAAAGAGATGAAAAAATGGGCATATGAAATTCATTCTAGTTTTCTAGTACCTGGTGCGGTAAGTAATTCAATGCATATAAAATATTTTTTGTAAATTAATTTTAGTTTCTTATATGTGTATAAGTTTATCATATATACATTCTTTTTATACTCTTTTTATATTCTTGTTATGTCGTCTAATTATATTTTATTTATGTTTAATTAATATTAATTTAACACATTAATATTATTAATATTATTTAATTAGTATTATTAAGGCTCCTGACTAATTGCGCGGCTATATTGGAATCGTGACGTCGTAAGCGAGAAATGACAAAGTAAAAGTTTCTTGCGCGCCATTTTTAAATAATGAGAATTTGGAAAAAATGAAAAAGTGATATCGCTTTAAAAAAACTTGTAAAAATGAATGAAAACTATCCTTTTCCTCTCTAGCAGTCAGTAAATAGGCACAAAAGGCACGTAAGTCCATTCAGGCAAGAAAACTCATGGTTTGACAGCTGTTAAAAGGAGTGAAAAATATACTTTTATGTATAAAATTAAAAAATAACTTTAGTTTCTATCTATTTTTACGAATTTCGTAAGTACGAAACAAGTTATATTTTCACAATTAAGCACATAATAAATGGCACGCAAGACAAAATTTATCGTCAACACTTTCCACAGTAAAGTCACGTTATTCTCATCAAATTGAGTATTCTCTTCACATTCAGTGAAGAGAACGTAATTGATCAATTTTTACTGCTTATGATATCGGCATACGACATATTTTGTAGAATTCTTACGATTTATGACTTATAACCAGGGAATGGAAAATTATTTTTTAAAAGTAACTAGTTATCGTTATTTGTTACCGAGTTAAAAAAAAACTAGTTATCGTTACTAATTACTGATTTTTAAAAATAACTCGTTGTCATTACCGTTACTTAAAAAGTAACGATTTGTTACTTTTCCGTTACTTTTTTAATGCTGAAACAAGATAAATCTAAATAATTTAAGATGCAATTTTTTGTTTTAATATTAATAAAAGCAATACAACAATGACGCTAGACCGATATATAAAAATA